TTAGTTCAAAATGTCTAGTACCTAAGCATGTAATTTTTTGCCCTATATTTAAGTATAATATTAAATCAAGGTCATCTTTGGAATCAGTTTTGATTCGAGGTAAATACACACAGTGTACCCGATATTAAAATATTCATCGCGTCAATATACGAGGTTTTCCAACGTCATACATTTGTGAACTTTAAAAGTCTTGATTCTATTCACAAGGTCTTCGCAGAACTGCTGGGAAAGTAGTTTTCGTAGACATTAAGCGACCTCTTTAAACTTGAGTAGGTATTGAGAGTTAATTTTTTGAGTATATTGTATTAAACAAATTAAAAATCCGGGATCAAATATTAATGATCGGGTTCGGGATGAATAGAAGTCTTTTTCCTTTTGTCCGCGATATGTTGAGTCGGCAATTAAACGACTATAAACTTTGTTTGATCTCTGGTTCAATTTCATAAATTTTCGTCTGGTAGTTCTTATTGAACACTCTACCGCTTTTTCTATCCAATTTGAATATAACGTGTTATAGGCTGGATTCATAAAGTTTATATAAGATTGAGCAAAGGGATTTTTTTTTTTAGTTGAAAGTTGTCTCAATTCCGCGTTTAGAATTTTTTTATCTATTTTATAATATGTAGTCGAAAATAAGAAAGAAGCATCAAGCATATTAAAAAAACACTATTTTTCTTTTATATATCTCATAAACATTTTGACGTTTTTGGTTAAAATAATTTTTTAATATGCATAGTCACGGAAGTCTGTCTGTAACGCTTTCGTTTCCAAAGATGGACATAACAAATTTCATCAAGTGATAAAATTTCTTGGCTCAACCATTAAATTATTCCAATGACCTTGGAATTTCCTTTTATATATATCTCATAAACATTTTGTGTGTATTTTTTTTTATTTCCTATTTTGGTTAAAAATTTTATATCTTTTATTTTGTTTTATTTTTTAATTTTACATGTTATTTTTATATTTCTCCTTTATGTTCTTATTACATCTATTAGAACTGTTTGATAAAGGCTAAATAAATCAAACATCATGGATTGTGTAAAATTTTGAGAATACGAACATGAAAACATAAATATATACATGTATGTGACTTCACTTCTGCATATACTTCATAGCAGGTACAGCGTTTTGAATTCTGTTCTTTGAAGAATTAAATAAATACTTTTTTTTCTTTTTCTTTTTTTTTTTTTTACTAAATGATAGTATTCAGCATGTGAAATGAACAATTTATGAGGTTATAAAATCATCATTACAGTGTGATAAAAATTTTTTTTATACACATAATGAAGAATAAGCAATCAAATCTTTATATGCATATTGACATACATGTATTTTATTTGCTTCAGTATACATGTATACATTTAATAATTCTACAAATTCAGACAACTTTGCACATAAATGTAATTTGTCTTTCAAGAATTGAAAAACAGGAAAATCATCTTTGCATATAAATATAATGAAGAAAAAGACGAAAATTATCCTCATAGCAACAGTATATAGAATTTATTCTAACATTCTCTCTAACATACTAATATTATCATGGATCTTTCTATATTCGATCGTTTATCTTACATCTAAAGAAATGTGTCCTCGATTAAAAACTGGGATAGGAAAACATGATTCAATTTTATAAATTTCACGTTAATCATAAACCACATTTACGCAGTATAAAAATGTTCCCTTTTCTTGTACAAATGAAGAAAAAGTGCACGCAAAACTGCCAATAATTTGTATTCACAATTCATTCAAAAGAACATTTTCCTAATCCTGGTATCGAATTTCAATTCCATAACGGTTTTAAACTTTACACAAAAACTAAAGCGTCAATGTCTGCCCCTATCTGATTATAATCATTCATAATTGTAATATTTGTCAAACATGGCGAGTTTGTTGAACTCATTTACCGTTATGTCTACAAGGTTAAAATGACTTGGTACCTTTTTTTTCTTTTCTATCTTTCAGAGTTTTCTGCCCTCTGGTTCTGAACATTGACATCTTGCTTGAACGCAAAGCATTCAAAATTTTTCAATGCGTGGCCTGGATTTCTTTTTTCTTTTTGTTAAACTTTTATAAATACACAAAATATATGTGTTCTTTTTGTGGAATTTGCCTTTTGCCAGATTGGAGAACATTAAATAAATATATAAAGAGAGTAACCGCAACTTTTTTTAATCTGAATAATTGAAAATAACCACATTGTCTGAATAAATGTTTAAAGGAAATACCGCTGAAAACAAAATCTTTGTGTTCATGGTTAAAGAATCTGTTAAAAAATCAGAAAAGATTGGAATTAAATTTTTCCTTCAAATAAAAGTTGATTCCACGATCAAGACAAACAAACAACGCTTAGTGAAACCTCAATCTTTAAAGATTTTTGGTGGATTTCTGGGAGAATGACTCAGAAAATTGGAGACATTGTCTCTAGCATAATTCGTCTTCACAGTCTCGCGTGAAATCTCGCACCTACGTCACAATCTCGCGGCCGTGTGTTCACACTTCGAACCTATTGACCAGTAGATCGCCAATGCCCCATTCACTTCAAACACCCGGTAATCTTAAAGTCAAAGGCTGGTGTTTGTTGACAAACTTCAGAAAGAAATATTTTCATTTCTCACTTTCTGTAGATTAAATATTTACCGTCTTAAAAGCGACGAAGGTATTTCATGAGAAAATTCGGATATTTTTGTCTGGTTGGGTCTTTATGTAATTGTTTGAATTGCAATTACATTGTGTGTAATTTGTTTACTTAATTGATTAGCGATAAATTGATTTTAATCTCTAAATTCTATTAAAGATGTCGGGGCTCTTGTAAATCTTCGTACTTTCTCATCTAAATTCGATTTCCTCACCTTTTCGTATTTGCCGAAACGGTAGAAATTTCCCTTGCTTTGTAAAAAGTTAGAGACTTGTAAATCAATATTCAAAATTATTTTAAAGCATTCTTTAATTAAGTGGTTTTTTTTTTATTTTTTGATGAAAACGGACATATATGATAGAAGTATTTTTAACGTGCTCTTTTTAATTTCATTACCCTTTCCTTTTTCTGTTAAAATTGAATTCAATATAATAAAAACACAGCGTTTTACTTTAAATAGCTGCTTTTACATAAATTGTTCAAACTCAAGGTGCACATTATGTACGCATACATTACTTACCGAATGATGCAAGGAAATACATATATACATTCGAAAACATCGGATCCTAAGTGCAAAATGTATTTCATATAATTTGTTTTCTTCATGAAATTTAAAATGCCAGACTGCATAATCTTTTGTACTCAAAGGGCGTTCAAAAAAACCAAACGTAGCTGTTCAAAATCTGAAATATTTATCACCTTCAATTAAACAAATAAACTTAATACATATATATGTACCTGTTCAATTAAAGGAATTTTGTGAAATAACTTGTTTACTAGCTCCAGTGTCTATATTGCAGATTAAAGTCAAGTCGCCAAGACACTTTGAGCGAAAAGTACAGTCTTTTATTGCAAACTAATTAACCTTCATCTTCAATTACAAGGTATTAAATTCAACGAAGATTTCGCGTGATTAGAAAACAGTAATGCTATTTGTATACGTGATCGGCGTTTTTAATTAAACAATCGTTTGATAAACATGCAGGTATCGCATTTGGCGGGTCCATTTTTTCTCCACAATGGCGCCCTGTCTGCAAACCGCGGATGGAAAGGGCTGACCGACGGACGATTTCGGACAAAAGAAAATATGCCTTTAACAATGGACATGCTTTATAAATGATTAATCATACAAGGGTATTAATTTTCTCTATGCGTCATTAGATTTGTTAGCATTAAATTATAACGGCATTGTAATCATAGGTCAAACATTAAATTATAACGGCATTGTAATCATCGGTCAATCTCGGTGGTATATGCTTAAACGCATTCCACAATTAAAAGATAAAGCTAGAGTGAAACAAACAAGATTTTGCGAAATAAAGAGAAGTCGAAATATTTATTGTTTTAAATGCTTGAAGATCGAAAAAAAAATGTTTTTAAGGAGGCTGGGGATCAACAAATAATCAGATATAACTGAATTATTTTGATATGATATCTTGAACTGTCAACAATCATTTGGCAAAGAAAAATTTCATAAATTTTAGTTTTAAAATTTCATCTCTTTTGTGTAACTTTATATGGAGCTCTTCTTCTAAAGGAGATCGATATAGTCTAGAAATGACCACGACCACCCAGCCCTCTTAAGGTCAGACGACACGTTCCTCAAAAATATATAATTTTTCCTAAGAATTTTTCATTGAAGTTTAGGTACTTAAACAAGTTTCCTCACAAAAAATTAGTTATTATAAGGCATTTGGCCAAGATACCATAGGGTCATATTTCTTATATAACCCTTAAGGGTAATCTTCTAAATGGCCTATAACACAATTTTTGGTGTTTCTATATTTGAAAACATTTTGAAAACAGTGTAGCAATCTGAAGAGAATGACAAATATGAATATTTTTTTATATGATACCAAGAGATACAAAACATATATTTGAGGAACGTGTCGTCTGACCTTAAATACGCCATTGCAAGTTGGGTTGACCAACGCAGGCACGTCAAATTTCAGTAGAGATTTCACAAAAAGTCATGTAGAAGAAAAAAAAGAACATAGTCTTTTTATCCACTTAGTCATTTGCCGAAACGGAATTCCATGTTTTGCTGCTATATATTGCAGGTCCGCCTTTTGAATTCCATTCGTAATTAATTCACATCAAAGCTTTCAGGATTCGTCGTTAAAAGCCAGTGTTCTGTGTTTTTTGCGTGAGTAGTAATAAAAACACAGAAACGCAAACTTCTAAGAGGAACTAGTAGCTTGTAAAAACTTGTCTTCAATCCTGTTGATTAACTCAGTAAAATCCCATCTGAAATTATCTCATGTTCAAAAATAAAATGAGTTTTGAGACTGCAGATCAATGAATCCGTGATATTAACACTAATCTACCATATTCACAATCCATATAGAAAACAAAACTGTAGTTAAGATTTTTCACAATTTTATTTCAAAATTTAAAAGGAAGAAAAAAACATTCCATAAAATCATTCTTTCTACATATACATGTATTATTAAATAACTTATCGAGGTTTTGGACGGATTTCGATAAGGGTATAGATTGTTCACAATCTAGCAAATGATTGGTGATGCATGAAATGTCACGTGATGAAATGATGAGTTCGATTTGCTTTCTTATGTGACGTCATCACACATGTTCAGATACTTTGATTTCTGCAAAGATTCTATGAAACATATGATCGATGAATAACATTAGAAAGAAATTGAACAAAAATGAAAGTATAAAATCTACCGCTAATTATTAGTTAATTAACCACACTTTAACTTTGGACGGCGGTCGATAAGGTGTTGCACAGACAGACAGTCTGGCTATAATCCTATACTACGTAATAATAATGATAAATAAGCCTATTATTAATAAAATGTATGATATCTAGCTAAATCACTAATTATTGGGAAGTTGTTTAGATATCATTTCGATTTCTAAATGTCAAAAAAAAAATCCCCCACCCAAAAAAATCTGATTTCAGAAAATCAAACAAAGTGAGCGAAAGGTAATTTCTTGGGTGGGTGGGTGGGGTTTTGTGGACGGAAGATAAGAGACCAAAATAAGAAAAAGATAACGCACTCACAGAAAAAAATGTCAAAAAATCCACTGCAAACACAACTAACATATGCTATTCAACACGAAAACAATAAAAAAAAGTCAAACTTCAAAGTTTTTTTTTTTTTACATACATCACCAAGTTTCCCTAAATTCTTCAGACTTGCACAGCAAATCTCAAGTTCTTTCTGCTTGTTTTAGTGATAAAACAACCAAAAAACAAATAACTTTTTGAGGATTGTGAAAATATGAAATATAAATAAATAGATAAACCGGTAAGCGGGTGTTAAATAAATAGAATAATTTACAAAGCATTATATTAAGAATAAATTACCGAAAAAATTCTATATACAAATCACAGATTAATTTCAAATGGAAAAAAACGTAAGATCAAGTGAAAGGATAGGAAGGTAGTCTCCCTAGATGTTAAAATATTATATATTATTATTTTCTATAAATAGAATATAGATAAATAAATATCGAATATGTACTCCCGAATATAAGTTAATGCTAAGAACTACAAATTTTGTTTTAGAAACAAAGAAATAAATATCTGTATTAGTAGAAGCTATTTTGAGATCTAATTTGTTACATCTAAATTTCTAATACTCTGTACACACTTTGAATTCTATTTTTATCACAGCCGGATGAAGAGCCATACAGCGCCATCTGCCGGCAAACGACCTCCGTCACAGTTCCGCAGCTAATATCAGGATCGCCGTGAATAACATGCGATGAAAAATATAACGAAGTGTGATCATTGGTCAATTTGACGACAATGGGCATCTGTATCTTGGAATGTTTCAAAGATGTTATTCAAACACCATTACCTCAAACAAGATGTATGAAAAATCTACTCACATAATAAAAATCGACTGGGCCATCTTTAAAAAAAAATGTTTTTTGCACTTTCTCGACTAAAAATTACCCGACGCAAACTTTTTCATCAAAACTCCAGGAAACATTTTTTTTAATTCAGAATTTCTTCCATCCCATCAACAAATATTTTTATTCTCTTTTCCCCAATTTTTCCCTTTCTACAAATCAAATTTCTTATATCCTTAGTCGGGAGAGGACAAATAAACACCTTTTTTAAAAGATGTCCTTGTTACCAAAACATATTTACAAGGTGGGTTATTCTGAATAAATGGAGATATGCTGTAAAAAATGATCACTGTGATGTACAAAAATGTATGTACAATATATACATAAAAATCATCTAAAAATATACATAGGCAGTGTTGGTAGCACAACAAATAATTTACATATGAACACAATTATATAGCTCAGCTTGTAAAAAATTTTTCGAACACTTTGGCTTGCAAAACTTGATTGAACACGTAAACATTGCAATAAAAAAAAAATATACAATAATACAAATGTTTTGAGACCACACCCGTTGGACGGCGTAAACTCTTGTATATACACAAATAAATTTAATATTTATTAATATGGCGGTGTTCACAAATATTCTTCATATTTTTTAGCACTGTTAATGACTCATTGATAATGGCGTTAGTTTCAGAGAGTTCCTTTTGAAAGCGAACAAAACTTTCTGAACTTCCGTCCTGGCGTCTAATGTTCTTATAGGCTTGTTCAGCCATCTTTAAGAATTCTTTTTCCATGAGAGCGCATGTGCAGTTCTCTGGAAGTACTTCCTGTTGTTCTGTTAATCTTCTCCAGTTAAATTCACCTTCTGATCGGAACTGGTTTGCAAAATAATCTGGAAAAAGTAATTTTAGCATTTTTTATAAACTTTCAATAAACCCTTTGACAATTCAGTTATATGAGGTCATAAACAACTTCATTTAGATTAGTGTTTAGGGTTAGAGTCAAAAGAGGAATTTACCATTTCGTTGTCTTTTGAAACTGTCCCTGTCACTCTCGGAATCACAGTCACAGCTACAGCAATCCGAAGCCTTCCTCTTCCGCCCTTGACCTTTGATCTGAGACAAAAGTTGAAGGACGAGACGAGAGGTCGTTTGATCTTCGTAATCATCCTCAGTTACTTCCCTTCGTTGTTTACAAGGACTTCGTGACCTTTCTGACGAGTAGTAAAAGTCGTCCATATTTCCTATAAACGTTCAAATAAAAAAGGTTAGTTTTTCAACGCAAGTAATTTCAATTTTTTTTTCTTTGCAAAAAGCAAGTTCGAAAAATTAGATTTTTTTTTAAATTTGTAATCAACTGACCTGATTTTTTGCTCAAAGAGCATGCGTCAAAGTTGAGTTGTTTCCGTACACGCTCTGACTGCCTTTCATCAAATGTACCATTATCAACAGTATCTGACTGCCGACTGCGGAACAAGTCTTCCGAATGACTGGGACTAGGCGAGGATCTCCGAAAAGGTGATATGATGTCAGATCCGTAGGTTTGCTTTGTGGGAGTTTGTTCTACAGAGGAACTGTCTTTTTGAGATTTTAGGTCCGTGACAATAGTTCTAGGAACACAGTATACTATTTCGTCGTCCCCCGCCACATTGGGTCCTCGATCCACCACTTTATTGTCTATTCTCTGTTGTTTAGTCACTGATGGAGAGTATCTGAAGGCACTGTTAGAGCTAGATGGCGTTGCTGGCGATGCAGGAGGTGTTCGAGACTTTGTTTTTTCCGCCATCATCCAGTCTGAATTTTCTCCATAAAGTGCACATGAGGTTTTGCTACTTTTCGGAGATGGAATATAGTTTCTGATACTTGTCTCCATATTTTCTCTATAGTCCCGAGGGAATTTGAACAAATTCCCGTCTGTTTGTTTGAATGGTGATCGGATTTCTGGAAAACATCGCTCAACTTCGGAATCTTCCCGACTTCTTCCGGAAACCTGCCGGAGTTTTTGGAGATGGTCCATGAGTAGTGAGGAAATGTCTGAATAAGATTGCTTCGCTTCCATTTTGGGGGGTTATATTTACTGTATTTCTTTAATGCTGACTGTCAAGCTGGAAAAAAAGAAGGAATGCCAAATCGTGAGAAATTCTGTATGTTACGAGAGCATATTATGAAACGCTATTCATTGATTCCGGCCAAGCTTAAATGATTTGAAATTGCAATTCGAGTGGGGGTGAAAAGAATCTGAATTTTGATCATTTCAATATAAGTCGGATTATCAAGTCAACGAACGCCGATTATATTCCCCCTAAAAATTTTACATATCGCCGTCCAGGTTTCAATTTTCTATTGCATGTCTCCGTACCTTGGTTCTATTTATAGATTTAAAAACAATTATTGGTTCCCCTAGTTTTAACCCCACCCGACTAAATTAAATGACGTTTTATAATGTAACTCATTGTCCGCGCTAAGTGAAAGCTCTCTAATGTGTTGCACATCAATAGCAAAGTTGATGGCTTTCGATATTTAGTAACAAATTCGGTTAATGGTTTCATTGTGTTCTTTAATGTCCTCTAGAGTATAAACAGAATGCCGTCATAGGCGAAAATCTGCGTTGACAGGTTTGCTAATTATTCTATTATTTACACACGTATTGACAAACATTTAGGTGATCCTTAACCTAACAATGGACCAGGTCTTTTGGACCAATAAGTACGTTTTGTTTAATAGAGACTTCAAATGAAAGGTATCGAAAGTCGATATGTTGTCCCAATCTGCCTTACATTGTAACGACTGAGAAATTTATTCATTTTCCACATGCTCTATCGATGGGTTAAAGAAATATGTAAATATTTCTACCTAATTATTTCTAGACAGCTAAAATTGGGGATTTTCAAATTAGCCTGCCATCTTGAAAATTAATCAATTCATCCACGTAGGGCTAAAGGATACCCGATCCCGAAGGATATTCTACGGTTTTGGGTTTTGTAGATCAGATGTTTTATCGATGAATCAAAAGATTACCCGAATGGTTTATAACAATGAATGAAGATCCCTTACAATGGCAAACAATGGCTAGGCGTACACTTATCCGTAATTCAAATTGTGTCAAAATCGGATTAAAATTCGATATTTTTGTATGGAGTTTGGGGAAAGACAAAAAAAGCTTGTCATGAATAGCAGCCTAAGGTCTGTGTGTATAAAGGTTTATTAACTGAGATGATAAACTAATTAAATAATGAAGTCCTGAGTCACTGCCTGGAGTTCTACGTTTTTACTTCTTTTGTATACAAACATTTAAGAATTGATACATTTACCTAAAACGATACTTTTAAAGCTAATGCATTTTGTGAAAGAAAGAGTTTATGATCTTTCATTTTATTAAATGAACATTAAATGTGTTATGCTTCACTCTTTATCATTTGATCTCTTCTTATATACAACTTTGATTTATTTTTTTTATTTTTCACAATACATTCTGAAATTGTACTACGTTAGAAGGAAATTGTAAGAGAAAAATTGTCGTAAATTGACCACATTACTACAAATTTCGATGCATGGTTAGGTAAACTCTTTATTGGAAATTATTACGCCAATCATTTTTCCAAATATTTTCTCACGATCCAGGGAAAAATTAAATTGTTCGTTTCTGCCTCGTAATTCAATGTCGAAATAAATCTTACCATTTATAAACATAAAAACATCTACGTCTAATACTTCGAAAAGTTATGGTTATTAAGTCGTGGTATTTAGATAAATATTTCTTTACATTTGAATTAGTCACGTCAGCGCTTTATGTAACCATGAGCTCGGCAATCGTACCATTAACATTGATGAAAAAAGGTCGTATATAAAGAACGGGTTATTTAACGGGAAGATACCGTTAACTATGGTTAGATATCATACAAAGATGTGTAGAAACGAATGTAAATTGAAAAAGGGTTGAATGAATCTTGGGGTATTGTATCTCGTTTGGTGGTATTTTTCTTTTTAAACGACGATAAAAGCCCTTTTAAATGGTCTACTCAAACAAATCTGATCCATCTATCAAAAATAGGATAGATATGGAATAAAAATTGTTGTAATTGATTTCCTCTTCTGATAAGCATATCAATGAAAAGATAATGAAGATTTCTAAAGAATTTCATTTCAATTTGACGACTCTCCGATCTCTCTAGAATAAAAGCCACAGTCGGGTGTGTTTCATTGCGTTCTGTTAAAGTACATTCTTACTTTTAGATGGCGTCTTTGAGTATCCTTTGACGTCATCAAATTCTACCGTTTTCTCAGAATGACTTGCAGGAAATCAAAGCGAAAGATCTCAAAACTTTAAAAAGGGATCAAAAACAAATTAAGGGTTAAAATGAGCTTGATTATGCTTACCCCAAAATGCTTAAGAAAGAGCGTCATGTTTAATACAATATTTATATTCATCTAATCGCTGTAGCACTCCCGAGATTCTAGATCAGAGTTCAAATTGACATTCCTGGGTAATGTAGTTCTCTTGCTATTTATCTATTTATGAATGACTTAAGATCAATGTTCATATTGTGTCATAACTCCAAAGAACATTGATAAAAAAAACCGTCTCAACTTATCAGTGTTGGATTTCCCAAGTCCGCGTGTACATATTAAACATCGTATTTAAGCAGGACCAAAATTATGATTTTCAATCCCATTATTAATTCTAGACACTGATCCTAAAAATGGAAAATAAATTGTGTTTTTACTGTTTATTAATGCGTTGGTGTGACGTTGATTCTTGATTTACTGCCGATTAAAATGAGATTATGCTGAGCATGCAGTCCATGTCAAGCGTTCTGTGGACCTCTATTGAGACTGGAGCCGACCTCATAATAAAAGATAGAACCCTTCAGAGTTAAGTAGTTCCCGGAGAAGCGATAGATAATACAGTGTGAGAAAACAGTGATTTATGACCTCTAGCCTCATCTAACGGAGACAATCTCAAGAGCCCCGGATGATAAGGACAAGGTCTCGAGTGTGTTTACTAACATTATGGAATGTCATCAAATTATACTCCAGGGTGCTTAACGTTGATGATGAGTTATTGTCAGGGTGGGTCCGACGCTTGGGACTGGAATTATCTACGTCTACATGGATAAGAGTTGGAGCGATATTGTCGTGTCTATATTTGGTATACATCTTAATGAGATGTCGCGGGATTTCAATACGAGACTTTATTACTTTACTTTCTATATGCTGTAATTCAATCATAGCAAATTTATTACGTTCGGCTGGAGAAATGGAGGAAATTAATGGCTTTCGTTCGCCTATAGCGTCTGGAAATTCAATCTTTTTACCTTTTAATATTTTATCTTTGATTAGTTTTAGTTTTGTTATGTTGGGAATATTCTTATTTAAATCCATGCAATTTATTTTCAGAGATTTTTTATAGGGGGAAAACGGTTTATAGATGATTAATTATAATGTTTAATAGTCATTTAAAATTCGCCGCAAGGAAACACGAAATGGAAAAAAACAAGTTCAAACGAGGTATTTCAAAGCAATTACGTATCCCTACGTGTTAAAAAAGCAGTGGGCTTATAGAGTAATCGGATTCATCAATTAAAACCTATTGAAGAAAGTCTTTTAAATCACAGCGTCATTTATTAAGGATACGCTATCGATGCTTTATAAGTAATTATGCGCGGTTACGTCCAAGATTCAATCAAGTCAACTTGTTGAAACCTATTATACGCTAAAGAAAAAAAATGAAAGCGACAGTTTTTAATATGATTTCCTTAAGGGTATTTAAAAAAATGAAAACTCATTGAATTGATTTGCAAGGTCATGCGGTTTGGGTTTTCTTTTATTTTTGGCGTTGCAAAACAATTGGGACAGGGTGTACTTCACTTCAAGTACAGTTTTATTTGCAGTTTGAACACTCTGATATTTTTTTATGGTGTGTTACCGAAATCAATATGCAAGCAAATCGCACCCCGCGCAACCATAGGGCACAGGTACGGATAGTCTGTTCCCTGACAAACGATAAGAAAATAACGGGGGTTCGAATTTGAATATTGATTTAAAAGCTCGAGACACGGAATGGGTTTTTAGATAGGATTTACATATTCCTATAGCCCAACGATAAGATAACGTATTTAAAGAATGTAATTCGATATATAAGAACAGGGGACCCAAAGATAAGATAGAAATGTACCCAGGTCTTGTGGTTTTGGGAAATAAAGTTTGCATTTCAAAAAAATTTAAATAACATTATCTGTTCAAGATTGATAATGTCGTTTCGGAGAGTTTGATAATTGCCCGGTTTTTCATCCGAAGCCCGACAACGGGTACACGTATTAAATTATATACGCTCGTCACAGCGCGCGACTTAGGACGTCTATTAACCGTTTTTTATGTGTATTGGGTACCACTCGTTTATGATATATGATATGTATTACGCGTGTCTGGAAGCAGGTGCATAATTATTATTCAGGATTTTTTTTCTCCTATAAAGAAAAAAATATAATTTATTTATTACTTGTTTTGTAATGTGATTCGGCAAGATTCCTGTACATAACGGGGATATCATTTGATTATCTTGTCGCTGGATCTCATTCCAGATTTTATTTAGACGAACATCTGTATGCATATATATGAACCGAAAGATGTCGCGAGCGCAGCGCCTGGTACAATGCAGTGTGCTTCTGCATAAGACATTGCACAAAGATTGTGCATATTAGCTTCTGCAGTAAACGCCGTATTTCTTTATGTGTATTCAAATACAAACAAAAATATTATTCAAAATAACAATTGCAGTGGTAATTTTTTTTTTTCAATTTTACATTTATAAGATATAAATATATTCCTTGAAGCATAAACATATTTGTATATTTGTATTTAGCTGCAAAGTACATTGCAACAGATGATCAATTATTTAAAATAAAAGATTGAAATTAATGCATTTTGCCTTTCTTAAAATATTGTTTAGGTTTTAGCCCTTTAAAATTAAGAAATTGTGTGTCATTTGATTACCAATTTGATCAAATTGAAAATTATCAATTTTGCACTTCAAGTAAAATATTTCTTGATTAAATTATAATTACCTTTGAAATGGAACTTCATCTTGCATTCTTTGCAAAGAAAAACTCTTGTCAGCATAATAATTGTTTTAAATCCATTTCACGAATATAAGAATTCTCTTAATAAAAATCTCCTGTGAATGGGTGCGTGCCAACCTGGCGAATAACGGTACAGTGTCGCCCTGGTCCTTTAAAATGCTCAGTCGAGGTATATTTCGTGCACCGATACAAAACAACCGTTATGTACCTGGTAATAGGTAAATCCCACGTGGGTACACACAATCCGGGATTCAATCAACCGTATACAGCGGGTTCTAGCACTTACACACGTCCATCATCTCAGTAGAAACAATACACCAATCCCCGCCCACTTTGTCACGGGTGAACGCTTTCTATTAGTCGATAAGGAAGCGTTTGTTACTAGGGACCGCCCTTTTCGCATATTGATTAAGATAAATTCAGCCCTGTCGAAGAACTATTTTTGATCTATTTACATTTTGAAATTTAAGTAAGCCTTGATCAAATAAAGTTTGAAGAGATTGTCCGTCAAGATTTTAAAAGCGTACACGTCTATCGTTGGGGGGAGAATCTTTTTAAATGGAATGTACTATTTTTTCCCCATGCGGATAAAAGGCGTAACCTCGGACTATTAAAATCATACACAAATATTGATTTGTCACTTAGGACTATCGAAATATTTGCTTTTCAAAAACTACATATTTTTAAAATCTTTCACATGTCATGACAGGTAAAAATCTGATATCGATTGCTTTTGAAGATAGTGTATAGCGTCTTCGACCTATTTTTTCTGTCTAAAAGGTGTATTGAATTCAAAATTCCCTTTTAGGTGCTTAATTTCTGAAAGTTTTTCATGTCGAAACCGGCCGCAAAAATGCACTCAATGTTGAAACACATATTTTTCTTCGAGGGGATTTTTGCATGTTTTTGCATATCAAAGAAATATACTCTTTGAAGATTCAAATAAATATATTGATTATGGTAATCTTAGTTTTTACCAAAACAATTTAGAGTTATGTTTGTGTTGTATGTTTTCTTAAAATTTTGCTCAACTCAGATGTACTTATGCAAAGATTTGAGAGCATATCAGATTAATATTTGATAAACATTTATAAATTCATTTTTGCATATATAGTAAGCATTCAATTATTACATAAAATTAATATATTGTATGGGCATATATCGTGTGCATGAATTTTAGATTAATCTTTAATGAAATACAAACAAATCAACAAAATAATGAAATATATGCTTTGTATTGAATATATACACGTCGTGCAAATTTTGAGATTAATCTTTAATGAAATACACAAAATATAACAAAACAAAGAATTATATGCTATATGCAACCAGACCCCTTCACCACATTCAACAAAAGATCTAAAAGTTTATTCAAAGCAAAGTAATGTAATAATTTTTTTATATGCATCTATTAAGATTAACATTTAGGATAATGTCATGCGTTGTGGTCATAAAGTCGGAAAGAATTTACTTCTTAATATTTTGCGCATTTGATTCTCAACATCTTCAAGATAATTTTGAGATTTTCTCTCACGATATTCTTACCAATTCTATTTCATAGTTCATTAATATCTGAATGAATCATGTACAACATTGAATGTATAGATTAAGGATAATTGTTATCTTCTATTCCGATTGCTGCACTTAAGTTTTCCTATAGTTGATCCTCTTTTTCCAGTGTTTGATTTTCTATTCAGTTGTGGCCTTTTCCCACAAATTATGAAAATTTGAAGATATACAGCAATCGCTCCATAAAACCATTACCAGAATATAATAATAATTAAATTTTGTTTGGTTAATATTCATGTTTTCAGTATTTTGAAGAAATTCTCAGACTAAATATTATTTAGGTTTAATTATAATAAAAAAAAAATGGCAATGGAAATGCTAAGTATAGAAGGCGTAGTTTTAAGGCTTATTCATTTTAAACTTCGATCAAAGAGTGTAAATATGCATTTTCACTTTGAAAATAAAAAAATAACATTAATAAGATTTCAGTTTCTTATGCACGTGAACATATAAATCTGCGTGACTCTACTTATGTTTGACCTTGAAATTGTAGACGGCTCTAAACAGTCAACTATAATTAGTCGTACGAAAGTGAAAATATGCAGAGAAACTGCTATGGCTGAGATTGAAATCGAACCTGTTTTATTATGTGTATTTATGGTTACAATATAACGTAGCAAAACTGATGGCGCAGCCCCCCCCCCCCCCAAAAAAAAAAATCCAAAAGAAGCGCATTATGACGAGAGAGAGAGAGAGAGAGAGAGAGAGACTTTCTTTTACGATTCTGCGAAATACCTAAACAGTTATAAAACAACCGTTTATCTTTTTTTCTCGATTTGGGAGACATTTAAATTTCATGGATTAATTTTTTTTACAGCGCTGTTCACCCACTTTCTAATTGATTTTTCTTTTTTTAGGACAGTTCACTGAAAACCTATAGAAGTACGTGGAGAATTAGTCGGACAATACAGGGATACGCCGCATTCGATTTAAAGGCGTGAACCCGTGAAAACTCCCACTTCAAGAGAGGTACAGAACGCCCTCCTCAAATAAAAACAGACAATGCACAAGGGCGGTCAGGAAATCGAGCTTTTTACACCCATTGCACGCTTTTAAATACATCAATATATTTCTCCCATACTTTTGAATGCTTAGTATATAAAGCAAAAGAAGTGGGGACTGACGATGCACAAATACATTACGGGTAGGGATTGAGGGAGGGGGTATATATTTGAAGATCACTGCAGTAAAATAACAGCCAAAGTAATGTTTCTTAAAGTTTATTTCTAGGTTTTGCAGTATTCATTAGTACTCGTATGTTAGGTTGTTCCTTTTGTCTACAAGATATCTTAAAGAATTTAATTGTAAACTGCAACAAGGGTATTTCAAAGCAGAGAATCCCGTTGCAATATTTGTTGACCAAATTATTACTTCCAAGACCTTTCCAAGATATACGGAAAAGCAACCCCAAATGTGTTATGCGGGTGTTCGTTCCCCTCCCCTTTCTCATAAATAGTGAGATCTCTTTTCTATAGAGTATGACCTCGCGCTCTCTTTCAATAAATAAAAGTCGCCCGCGTGGCGCAGTGGTTAGAGCGTCTGCTCTAGAGTCTCAAAGTAAAGAGCTGTTTCTTATATCGCAGGTTCGAATCCCACTGTTGGACGCGAAGACCGGCCCATCGGATGAGACCGTATCGCAGTAGGTGCTGGCACGAAAATTTGTAGCTCTACACCTGCAAGTTGTGGCGTCTCCATATGAGTGAAAATATTTCATGAGGGACCTTTAACAACATACAATCAATCACTCTATGTAAAGATTCTACACCAATATACCACAAAACATATAATCAACCCTGTCTTTCAAGTATATAGTTATCAAGTAGGAAGAAACATTAATTGGAGGTGTTTCTCCGAGCTAGTCGGAATCTCACGAGAAGATGCGATAGTTGTTGCTCCTCGCACGAGAGTTAGTAAATGGCATCGGTCCTATTACTACCATTACTCACGGGGTATTAAAAGTTTGATCAAAACAATCTACATTTACGTATATAAGTATTTGCATATTAATATTTGTGTAATTATTGCAATGTTCTTTGTTATCCCTGCATTTTATACAATCCTAGCAAATACACTGTAATTTAAATATATATAATGGCAAGATCTTGTTTTCTTTAGGGAGTAAATCATACGTATTAATTAAGATAGTTTTGTGGGAGGGGGCGTGGTTCAAAAATGACAATCTAGGAGGCATCTAATGATGCTGTTGTAAAATTTCATTCAATAATAATAGAAAAACAAGATGTGTTTGTGAAGAACTATGCCCCCGATGGTAACACAATTATGGAGTGGAACGTAGACTGAAGTGGTATATATTCTTACCCTTGACAGCGCAATAGTTATCATGGGCTAGGTTAAAGTTGACAACAGACAGATAGACAAATAGACAGGACAAAAACAAAATACCCCCGGGATCTTTCGATACAGGGGCATAAAAAGGGGGAAATTTATGTCACTTTATCAACCTCTACCGTGGCTGTGTACGTGTCATCTTTCGTAAACATGAAAAGTGGAAGCAAATGATTGTTGTGAAGAATATGACAATGATAATAAAGATTGGTTGTATGCTGTTTAACGACCCTCACGAGAATATTTCAATCATGTGGAGACGCCACCACTTGCTGGTGGAGAGCGACAAAGTTATCGTATACTCGGCTCTCATGGCCATTGAGCATGTGAGGGATCTTTTTCGTGCCAACACCTACTGCGATGCGACACAGGACGAAAGTGAAGTTGAGTTTGCAAGATAAATTATGATAACTAGGATTGGGAGAAAGCGATGATAGTATTTAAAATTGATGATAACTTGATGACAACAACGATGATGATGTCGTTGATTCCAATAACATGATGAAGCGTTGATAGTTATGAGAATGTTGCTGTTATATAGCTTATGTTAAATGATAATAATAATCTGCACGGTTTTCAAGCTTTATATATCAAAATTGTAATATGATACCGATATATTGTTTGCTTTTGATTTACATGTACATTGAAAATATATGTATATATTTCTATTTCAATGCGCTTTTTCAAAGCATTTTCCCCGATGATTTCAGGGAAATTGAGGAAATTCCTGTTAAATTCAACATCATAGAATATTGTTGATACAACAGCGTTATATATATATATTATATGTATGTATAATAACATTCTTAATGAGCCGTAAAAAACTTCAAATTTGAAAGAAGTTAATGCTTAAAATGTAAGTAGTGTTTATGATAAAAATCTCGAAAACTTAACCATTACAAAACTTGCGTACCGGGTATTTATGTCAAATGCCTTTATATAAATATTTTAATATTAATACATATATAGTCCTTATCTCGATTCGGTCGAGATCTCGTCTGAATTTACATTAGTAACAGATTAATAGCTTTTAGTAATTTTTAAGCAGTAAAAAATCCATTTTAATTTGAAAGTAATGTATTGGAGATTGAATTTAGTAAGAAATAAAAGCAAAGAAGTTAAGTCGGTATTTAATGTAATCTTTTAATGAAAAAACAATTTTTTCCTCTTTGAGATCTTAGTGTCATGGATTGGTTAAAAATTTATAGGATGTGGTTTATTTGTTTACATTTAGGTAAAAACTTTTTTTTTCAGTTTGAAGTTATATATATTATGAACGTAAAGATATACTTTTTT